CCCCCTTGTGCTTATTAGTGGACAAGTGCCTCCTTTCTGTTGGTCATTTGACAAGTGTTCCCTTTCTGATGCTCAGTGGACAAGTGTCCCCTTTCTGCTGGTCTGTGGAAAGTGCCCCTTTGCCTCTTGTCAGTGGACAAGTGCCCCCCTTTCTGTTGGTTAGGAGACAAGTGCTCCCTTCCTGTTGGTCAGTGGGCAAGTGTCCCCTCTCTGCTGGTCTGTGGACAAGCGCCCCTTTCTGTTGATCAGTGGACAAGTGCTCCCTTTCATTAGGTCAGTGAACAAATGTCCCCTTTCTGTTGGTCAGTGGACAACTGCTTGTTTGCCTCTGGTCAGTGGAGAAGTGCCCTCCTTCTGTTGGTCAGTGCAAAAGTGCAACATTTCTTAGATTGTAACCCTCTTGTATTGAACTGTATTGTTGCTGTATTGTCTCCCATTATATATTGTAAAGAGCTGAGCAAACTGTTGGCACTATATAAATCCTGTATTATTATAATAATAATAATAACATTTGGAGGCACCCCAGTCTAAACTGTATAACGTCAATGGGAAACCTGAGTCCCCCTTGTGCTGGTTAGTGTACAAGTGCCCCAATTTGTGATTGTTAGTGGACAAGTGCCCCTTTGCTTCTCGTCAGTGGACAAGTGTCCCCTTTCTGTTGGTCAATGAACAACTGCCCATTTGCCTCTGGTCAGTGGACAAGTGCCCTCCTTCCTTCTGTTGGTCAGTGGACAAGTGCCTCTTATGAGACATTTCAAGGCACCCCAGTTTAAAATGAACAAAACGTCAATGGGAAACCTGAATCCCCTTTGTGCTGGTTACTGTACAAAGAAAAAAGAAAAAACTGATCACCTGCCCAGGTCTATAACTGGCTTTTTAAACAGTGAACATGGAGGGCGTCGCTATGTGAAAAAGTAAAAAGTAGAACTATCCAGTTCAACTTACCAGCCTACCCCAGTCTAATAACGGCTATTGTCGGCAAGGAACATGGATATGTATAACTTATCAACAGAGGGGGATAAGAAAAGCCAGTTCAATCTGCCAGCCAGTTAGCCAACTATCAAAAACCAAATTAACCTATCTAGAAACATGCGTTTAAAAACGGGTTTAGTTAGCACACATTTGCAAATACATACGTAAGCCACAGAGCCACATCACGGCACCCTGAATATCTGTGGTCCTAACTCTACAAGTCTAAAGAGTCCTCACAGTGGAGGCATATGTGTACAAGTGTTGCCTCTCTGCTGATCAGTGGACATGTGCTCTCTTTCTGTTGGACAGTGGACAACTGCCCATTTGCCTCTGGTCAGTGGACAAGTGTCCTTCTGTTGGTCAGTGGACAAGTTTCCCTTTTCTGTTGGTTATTGGACAAGTTCCCCTTTTTGTTGGTCAGTGGACAAGTTCCTCCTTTGCTGTTGGTCAGTCCTATATCCCTCCTTTCACTGGTGCCGAGTGGAAACAATGTAACTTACATAATAACCTCACCATCCACTGTTTTCCCTTGTAGCACTAATGTAGGTGTTAGCTGGGGCTGGGTCTATCTGGTCTTAAATAGACAGAAGTAGACAAACAGGCAGAGGGTGCTAACAGATAAGCATTTAAGCAATGGAAAGGTGGATTTTGTAATTAAGGCCTTTAAAGCAATGGTCCTAAAGTCAGGATGTGAATTTAGGGCTGCATTATGGTACCAAGAGTTGGCATTTAATTGATACTAGTGGCAGGGCTGGCTGTCAGTTTTGCATAACAAGTGCACTTTAAACTCAAAGTAGGAAAATATACCAGCTTTAGCAATAAAAAAAAATCTGGTTGACATTCTAAAAAGGTTATTTAAAGTAGTGCAAATAAGCAGTGATCTTATGTTACAGTTCTGCAGTGGAGGAGGTACTGTTGGTATCTAGAAGCTATTCTGCTTTTTACAGAATTAAAGCAAACCTGTTATTTTGTCTGTGCTAGGACAAAGCAATGCACAATTATCCAGCAGCATAAACAGTACTTACCTTTCCATCACTTCTCTTTGTGTACTTTCTGGTATGTAGGAGCAGGATTCTCATGTGACACATGACCACATTGATACATAGTGACTGGAACAGCTCTGTCACGTGGTCCAAGGGGACAGTTCTCAACCCGGTGTAAAATGTGATTAGAGTGACTCATAACTTGTACAGCGCTTCCTTTCCTTACTACCAGTAGCAGAATAGAGCTGAGTAATTCATCCTGCTATCAAGTACACTTAAATAAACCCAAGAAGCTATGAAATCCAATTTAATTAGACCCTCTTAGTGCAGTGGCATTGATCAATCCCCTGCTACACAGCCCTAGATCCTGTACTGGAGTCCAACCTGTGGGACAAAGCGATTGTAAGGCCCCATGTACACGGGACACTTCGGAAACTGACTGCTGGACAATGTAGGTTAAAAAACGTCTGTTTAGCCACATTTCCATAACGCAGTTATGCTCGTTTATGTGCGTTTGCATTTAGAAGCCTTTTTTGTTTAAAGATAAGCACAGGAGATCCTCCCAAATGCCCGAATGCACTGAAAAATGGCAAATTATTAACTATTTCAGACTGTTTTAGAGAAATACAGAGAGTAGAAGCAGAGACAGCAGTATGTGTTGTGATTACCTTAGGTGTGAGTTGCTCATTAACATTTCTTTTGTTTCCAAGGGTGGGAAAGGTGTCTGGTGGAGTGAATCATTAAGGTCACCTGGCAGGGGGTCTTCATGAGGAATTAGAGGTGTGAATGGTCATTAACATAGCTTTTGTTTCCAAGGGTGGGAGAGGTCTAAGGTGTGAATTGGTCATTACAATGTGTGACAAGCTTGGTAGGAACATCCTGTGTTCAGTGTTTTGTCCATCTGAGTACCTTGAAAATTCTACTTGCATTTTACATGATGAAAAAAGGCTCTGGACAGCATCGGGAACTGGAAGAGTTAAAAAAAACTTTCAAACGCAAGCTCTTATAAACGCGATTTGCCACATTTAGCCATGTTTAGCCCCATTTTGCGTTTGAAACACTGATTAAATCAACTGCTGAACGCCAAGTTTTCTGCGTAAAAAAAACAACTGTAAACTCAAATGCCTGTAAACGACGATGTGTAGATGGACACATAGGAAAACATTAGGGTGAGTTCAAGGGCTGCTGAAACAAATTCTGAACAGCTCCTAAACGTGAGTTTATCAGCTGCAGTGTACATGAGCCCTAATAGTAAACCACTGTACAATATGGTCACAAAGCAATGCCAGATTTCACCTGTTGGCGGTAGTACAACTGCATGCTATTACTGCAGCTCTGCTGGCAAGGTCCCCTTCCATATTACCATATTGAGGTGTCCTGAAAAAAAACATTTCCAGTTTTAGAAAACATTGCTTTTGAGTTTAGCATGCAATATTATTTATAGACATTGGTTAAGATACTTGACTGTGATTATTTTTACCTTTTGTATTTCCAAGTTGCTTCAATTTAAATCTCTAAAGTTGTTCACCGTACATAATTAGAATTGTGGCCAACTCCTGCTTAAAGGTTAAGTTCACCTTTTTTGAAAAAAAATAATAAATGTACAAATTTTTGCTGACTGCATAGCATTGCACCCATGATTAGTAGATTCTGGGTGCAATGTCAGGCTGCTGCAGACACGTCCTCCAGCTTTGTGCCTGTACTTCTGCATGTGCTTTCTATTACAAAGTTGGAGGAAGTGTAAATGAACTTTCATGGTGCACATCAGCAGGAGGTTAGCAGGACAGGAGCTGGAGCATGTTACATGTTACACCCATAAATATGGGTGTAATATGTAACATGCTCCAAAATGTGAATCTCTCTTTTAATTGGCATAAATTCAAGCTATTGGTGGCCCTGTCCACACCACCTGGCTTGACAGAATTCAGTTGAAAAGTCAAAGGTGCCAGGTAGAAAATTGTTGGGTCGAACAATGACTGAATCCAGGCAGATGCAGTCACTGTTTGGGTATTTGAGCAGCCATGAGTGCTGTGGCTGCTTGAATACAACAGCTGGTAGTGCAGAATCTATTGATTGGGCTGAACAATTGAAACCTAGCCATGCATGGCTAGCCTGAAGGTGCAAGGAACAGGATCCTCATCTAATCAGCTCAATTATTTATTTTGCCACACCGCTTGCTAAAATTGGGTCATTTAAGAGTCAGAAAGTAGACAGCAAATTTCAGTAACCCTTATCTACAAATCACCAGACATCTTGTTTTGACTACGCTAAACTTTCAAAATCATCTTCACTGTGTTGTATTATTAAAATTGACATTAAAATATTTAATTTCCCTTAACTAAAGCCTAATGATGCCATTAATACATTTTGCTGAGGTCCAACAGAGGCTTATGGAAATTAAGGTACACAAAAAGCTGACGCCATACTTGTTGATACCCATGCAACATTTTTGAGGATCTGGGGCCCATGGCTCTACTACAATGATCACCTGCACCTAGACCACTCCTTCTCTCATTGTAACGTTCCACCTTTAGCTAGGAGGAGGACACAACCGCCAGGTGAGTCTCATGGGATCCTTCATGCCCACTCCTCCCCTCTTCCTTTCCAGAACTACCCTGGTCTCCTCTTCTTATAACCTGCCCCCCCCCCCCTTCTCTCCCCCAACGAATCACCAGAACTCCCCCCACCATCCTCAAGGTGGCATTTACTAGCTTTACATACAAGGAATACATATGGGACTCAACACCCTCTACCTCTACTTAAGCCAATTCAGTGTGCTTCCGTAAATCCTCCAAACAAGCAGTCTTACTTACTTATACTTGCACATTTTTATTGTTCTTTGATATGGTTAATGGCACACTCTTCCCTTCCGATGTAATTATTTTTTACATTTGCCTTTTGTATGTCAGTTTGCTGTACTTTTGGTCAGAAAACCTAATAAATTCTTTGTGACTAAAATATTTATTTTCCCTCTTCCTCTTCTTTCTCAAAAGGTTCTTTGTCAAGTTTCCAACCGCCAAGCAGTACTTCAGCCAGTTTAAGGACATGGAAGACCCTGTGGAGATGGAACAAAGCGTTCAATTGCGCAAACATGGCCGAAGGGTAATGACGGCAATCAACAGCGTGGTGGAAAACCTTGGGGACCCTGAAAAGGTGGCAACTGTCCTGGGAATAGTGGGGAAAAGCCATGCGGTGAAACACAAAGTTGACCCCGTATTCTTTAAGGTGTGTAGACTCAAATTCATAATGGATGGCTAAAATGCATATTCCCCTTGTGTTACATATGCATGGGAGTTCCTGAAGCTCCCATGTATAGGCAGAATTTACAATCAAAGGCAGAACTGGGAACTGCTATGTGTGATAAGTTGATAAGAGCAGACTCTCAGTAGTGTTTCAGAGAACAAAAAAAATGCTTAGTCCATGTCTACTGTTCTTTGAAAATATCAGTCATATCTGCCTGGGAATTTGCTTCTTGCTTTATGATTTATAGTTATTTATAGATTTCTTCATAGTTTTAGTTACAGGATTGGTGTATTATTTTATCTAGGTCCCCTAGAGGAAGCTTTATTAGCTATAAAATTAGCTGTCAGTGTCCCAGACCTATGCAGAACTGCCATGAGTAACCACTTGTAAAAAAATCTTTTATAAAACGTACAAGATTTAAAGTATACAGTGGGGCAAAAAATTATTTAGTCAGCCACCAATTGTCCAAGTTCTCCCACTTAAAAAGATGAGAGAGGCCTGTAATTGGCATCATAGGTAGACCTCAACTATGAGAGACAAAATGAGAAAAAAAATCCAGACAATCACATTGGCTGATTTGGAAAGAATTTATTTGCAAATTATGGTGGAAAATAAGTATTTGGTCACCTACAAACAAGCAAGATTTCTGGCTCTCACAGACCTGTACCTTCTTCTTTAAGAGGCTCCTCTGTCCTGCACTCATTACCTGTATCAATGGCACCTGTTTGAACTTGTTATCAGTATAAAAGACACCTGTCCACAACCTCAAACAGTCACACTCCAAACTCCACTATGGTGAAGACCAAAGAGCTGTCGAAGGACACCAGAAACAAAATTGTAGACCTGCACCAGGCTGGGAAGACTGAATATGCAATAGGCAAGCAGCTTGGTGTGAACAAATCAACTGTGGGAGCAATAATTAGAAAATGGAAGACATACAAGACCACTGATAATCTCCCTCGATCTGGGGCTCCACGCAAGATCTCACCCCGTGGGGTCAAAATGATCACAAGAACGGTGAGCAAAAATCACAGGACCACACGGGGGACCTAGTGAATGACCTGCAGAGAGCTGGGATCAATGTAACAAAGGCTACCATCAGTAACACACTACGCCGCCAGGGACTCAGATCCTGCAGTGCCAGACGTGTCCCCCTGCTTAAGCCAATACATGTCCGGGCCCGTCTGAAGTTTGCTAGAGAGCATTTGGATGATCCAGAAGAGGATTGGGAGAATGTCATATGGTCAGATGAAACCAAAATAGAACTGTTTGGTAGAAACACAACTTGTCGTGTTTGGAGGAGTGAGAATGCTGAGTTGCATCCAAAGAACACCATACCTACTGTGAAACATGGGGGTGGCAACATCATGCTTTGGGGCTGTTTCTCCGCAAAGGGACCAGGACAACTGATCCATGTACAGGACAGAATGAATGGGGCCATGTATCGTGAGATTTTGAGTGCAAACCTCCTTCCATCAGCAAGGGCATTGCAGATGAAACGTGGCTGGGTCTTCCAACATGACAATGATCCTAAACATACCGCACGGGCAACGAAGGAGTGGCTTCGTAAGAAGCATTTCAAGGTCCTGGAGTGGCCTAGCCAGTCTCCAGATCTCAAACCCATAGAAAACCTTTGGAGGGAGTTGAAAGTCCGTGTTGCCCAGCGACAGCCCAAAACATCACTGCTCTAGAGGAGATCGGCATGGAGGAATGGGCCAACATACCAGCAACAGTGTGTGCCAACCTTGTGAAGACTTACAGGAAACGTTTGACCTCTGTCATTGCCAACAAAGGATATATAACAAAGTATTGAGATGAACTTTTGATATTGACCAAATACTTATTTTCCACCATAATTTGCAGATACATTCTTTCCAAATCAGCCAATGTGATTGTCTGGATTTTTTTTCTCATTTTGTCTCTAATAGTTGAGGTCTACCTATGATGCCAATTACAGGCCTCTCTCATCTTTTTAAGTGGGAGAACTTGCACAATTGGTGGCTGACTAAATACTTTTTTGCCCCACTGTATGTGAACCCTTATCTTGTAAAACAACCCATTTAATTTAAAAAAAGAAATGCAAGGCAAAACATTTGTGCATATATATATATATATATATATATATATATATATATACATATACATATAGTTGTGTTCAAAATAATAGCAGTCAGACTTTACTAACCTGATCAATCACTGTTTTTGGTAGAAATTATATTTCTACATGGCAAATAATTTACTAGCAGGTGTAGTAGAGTAATAGAAAACCAACAGACCCAACAGCCATGACATGCATGCTGCTGATTCTGTGTAATTGAATCACTAATTGAAAGGGGCATGTTCAAAATAATAGCAGTGTGGAGTTCTTTCATTCTTCCTTATTTAAGGAAGGAAGGCAGCAAATGTACATGCTGGTTACAGTGCATTTGTCTCTGAAATTCTGAGGAAAATGGGTCGTTCCAGACATTGTTCAGAAGAACAGCGTACCTCGATTAAAAAGTTGATTGGAGAGGGGAAAACATATAAAGAAGTGCAGAAAATGATAGGCTGCTCAGCTAAAATGATCGCAAATGCTTTAAAATGGCAACCAAAATCTGAAAGACGTGGAAGAAAGCAAAAAACTACCATTCAAATGGATAGAAGAATAGCCAAAATGGCAAGGACTCAGCCAACAATCAGTTCCAGGAAGATCAAAGAAGGTGTAAAGTTACCTGTGAGTACTGTTACAATTAGAAGACGCCTATGTGAAGCCAAGCTATCTGCAAGAAGCCCCCGCAAAGTCCCACTGTTGAAAAAAAAAGACGTGCTGAAGAGGTTACAATTTACCAAAGAGCGCATTGACTGGCCTAAAGAGAAATGGCACAACATTTTGTGGACTGATAAAAGTAAGATTGTTCTTTTTGGGTCTAGTGGCCGGAGACAGTTTGTCAGACGACCCCCAAACACTGAATTCAAGCCACAGTACACTGTGAAGACAGTGAAGTATGGTTGCGCAAGCATCATGATATGGGGATGTTTCTCATACTACGGTGTTGGGCCTATTTATCGCATACCGGGGATCATGGATTAGTTTGAATACATCAGAATACTTGAAGAGGTCATGCTGCCTTATGCTGAAGAGGAAACGCCCTTGAAATGGGTGTTTTAACAAGACAACCACCCCAAACACACCAGTAAACGTGCAACATCTTGGTTCCAGACCAACAAGATTGACGTTATGGAGTGGCCAGCCCAATCCCCAGATCTTAATCCAAAAGAAAACTTGTGGGGTGACATCAAAAATGCAGTTTCTGAGGCAAAACCAACAAATAGAGAAGAACTGTGGAATGTAGTCCAATCATCCTGGGCTGGAATACCTGTTCACAGGTGCCAGAAGTTGGTTGTCTCCATGCAACACAGATGTACAGCAGTTCTCAGAAACAGAGCTTATACAACTAAATATTCATTAAGTGATTCAAAGGAAAGCAAAATCTTCAAACATTTTCAGTTTATATAGTGAATGTTTGAGTTTGTAAAGAAGAATACAAACACTGCTATTTTTTGAACAGTCTAATATTCACTTTTCTTCAATTTTTGTTAGAGGAACAACACAAATTTGATATATTTTTCTTCATGTTTTGATTTGGAATAGAATGTGTAGTGTTCCCAATGCATTTGTGTGTATGGAAATAAAAGCTATTAGAAGGATTTTGAGCTTTATTCACTTTTTTCAACACACTGCTATTATTTTGAACACAACTGTATATACTATATTGCCAAAAGTATTGGGCCAGCCCTCCAAATTATTGGATTCAGTTGTTCCAATCACCTCCATGGCCACAGGTGTATAAAATCAAGCACCTAGGCATGCAGACTGCTTCTACAAACATTTGTGAAAGAATGTGTCGCTCCAAGGAGCTCAGTGAATCCAAGCGTGGTACCGTAATAGTTTGCTACCTGTGCATCCATGACATTTCCTTGCTACTAAATATTCCACGGTCAACTATTAGTGATATAACAAAGTGGAAGCAACTGGGAACAATAGCTACTTGGCCACGAAGTGGTAGGCCACATAAAATGACAGAGCCGGGTCAGCACATGCTGAAGCGCACAGGGCACAGAAGTTGCCAGCTGTCTGCAGAATCAATGGCTAAAGACCTCCAAACTTTGTGTGGCCTTCAGATTAGCACAACAGTGCGTAGAGAGCTTCATAGAATGGGTTTCCATGGTCGAGCAGCTGCATCCAAGCCTTACATCACCAAGTGCAATGCAAAGCGTTGGATGCAGTGGTGTAAAGCACGCTGCCACTGGACTCTAGAGCAGTGGAGACATGTTCTCTGGAGTGACCAATTACACTTCTCTGTCTGGAAATCTGATGGACGTGTCTGGGTTTGGCGGTTGCCAGGAGAACGGTACTTGCCTGACTGCATTGTGCCAAGTGTAAAGTTTGGTGGAGGGGGGATTATGGTGTGGGGTTGTTTTTCAGGGGTTGGGCTTCGCCCCTTAGTTCCAGTGAAGGGAACTCTTAAGGCATCAGCATACCAAGACATTTTGAACAATTCCATGCTCCCAACTTTGTGGCAACAGTTTGGGGATGGCCCCATTCTGTTCCTACATGACTGCTCACCAGTGCACAAAGCAAGGTCCATAAAGACATGGAAGAGCGAGTTTGGGGTGGAGGAACTTGACTGGCCTGCACAGAGTCCTGACCTCAACCCGACAGAACACCTTTGTGATGAATTAGTGCAGAGACTGCGAGCCAGGCCTTCTCGCCTGACATCATTGCCTGATGCTCTTAAGGCGTCAGCATACCAAGACATTTTGGACAATTTCATGCTCCCGACTTTGTGGGAACAGTTTGGGGATGGCACCATCCTGTTGCAACAGGTCCTGACCTCAACCCGATAGAACACCTTTGGGATGAATTAGAGTGGAGACTGTGAGTCAGGCCTTCTAGTCCATCAGTGCCTGACCTCACAAATGCACTTCTGGAAGAATGGTCAAACCTTCCCATAGACACTCCTAAACCTTGTGGACAGCCTTCCCAGAAGAGTTGAAGCTGTTATAGCTGCAAAGGGCGGGCCAACTCAATATTGAGCCCTACGGACTAAGACTGGGATTCCATTAAAGTTCATGTGTGTGTAAAGGCAGGCATCCCAATACTTTTGGCATTATAGTGTGTGTGTATATATATATATATTTTATAAATACTTTTTTGTATTCTTTTTTTATAAGCAATGGCAAGACCTCTGTTCTCAGCTGCATAAGGGGCTTGGAGAGGAGGGGGTGGAGACTGCAGGGAGGAGTGTCAGCACAACACTAAACCTTTCAGTAAGGATCCGTGCAGGGTCAAGCACAAGTCTGATCATTGAAGGTCAGGCAGGCTGTGTTTCCAGCACAGTCAGGTAAATGACTGCTGGGGTGGATGTGCTTCTATGCCTGGCGTTGTCAGTTTTAAGTAGGAAATAAGGGGAACTGGCAGGATTACTAATTATTTCACATTAAGGAAGCAATGTAAAGAGAACAGGATACGTTTTAACACAAACATATGGCACAATAGACACATATCAGAAATGTCGGGGTAACATATATTTTAACTTGTATAAATGAGATTATATAAGTATATACAGTGTTCATAATATGTATATACAGTGCATTCATAACGCTTTCAGACCCCTTCACTTTTATCATTTTGTTGTGTTGCAGCCTGATACTACAGTTGTTTAAATTCATTTTTCTTCCTCATTAATCTACACTCATAATGGCAAAATGAAAACAGAATTTTAGAAATGTTTGAAGCGCAGGTGCCTCCAATTTTTCTTGCTCTTGTTTGCTGAGATGTTTTCTGCACCTTGATTGGAGTCCTCCTGTGGTAAATTAAATTGACTGGACGTGATTTGGAAAAGCACACACCTCTCTATAAAAGGTCTCACAGTTGACAATGCATACTGTATCAAAGGAAAAGTCATAGGGTCAAAGGAACTCACTGCAGAGCTCAGAGACAGGATTATTGCTAGGCACAAATCTGGAGGAGGCTACAAAAACATTTCTGCTGCACGGAAGGTTCCCAAGAGCACAGTGGTTTCCATAATTCTCAAATGGAAGAAGTTTGCCACAACCAGGACTCTTAAAAGTGCTGGTCACTTTGCAAACTGAGCAATCGGGGGGAGAAGGTCCTTGGTAAGACAGGTGAACAAGAACCTGATGGTCACTCTGAGTTCCAGAAATCCTGTGTTGAGATGGGTGGCTAGATGGAAACCTCTCCTCGGTACAAAACACATGAAAGCCCACTTGGAGTTTGCAGAAAAGAACCTGAAGGACTCTCAGACTGTGAAGAACAAGATTCTCTGGTCTGATGAAATCAAGATTGAACTGTTTGGCCTCAATTCTAAATGTTATGTCTGGAGGAAACCAGGCACTGCTCATCACCTGCCCAATACCATCCCAGCAGTGAAGCATGGTGGTGGCAGCATCATTCTGGCGGGTGGTGTTTTTCATCAGCAGGAACCGGGAGACTGGTCAGGGGAAAGGTAGATATCCTCGATGAAAACCTGCTCCACAGTGCTTTGGACCTCAGACTGGGTTGAAGGTTCACCTTCCAACATGACAACGATCCTAAGCACAAAGCCAAGACAACACAGGAATGGCATAAGGACAACTCAGTGAATGTTCTTGAGTGGCCCTGCCACAGCCCTGAGATGAACCCTATTGAACATCTCTGGGGAGACCTGAAAATAGCTATCCACCAATGGTCCCCCTCCAACCTGACTTGAGCTTGAGAGGATTTGCAAAGAAGAATGGCAGAAATTCCCCCCAGTCTAGGTGTGCAGAGCTTGTCGCATCACACCCAAAAAGGCTGTAATTGCTGCCAAAGGTGCTCCAACAAAGTTCTGAGCAAAGGGTCTGAATACATAAATACATGTGATATTTCAGTTTTTTTCTTTTTAATGAATTCACAGACATTTCTAAAATTCTGTTTTCACTTTATCATTATGAGGTACTGAGTGTAGATTAATGAGAAAAAAATGAATGGAGTCTGAATACTTTATGAAAGCACTATATACAGTAGAATCGTTCCCCATCCAGTGCTTGTTAAATGACCAAAGGTCTGATCACAAGATCTCTGCTGAAAGGGGGATCAGATAATCTGAATTCTGATTGTTTCTTGTAGAAAAATTCTACATGATGTAGTGCCTAGGCCTTCAGACAAGTGCCAGACACCAACAGGAATCTGAAACAGTATTCTCTCAAATAAGGATTGTTGTAGCAAAGCTTTAAGTTAAAATTTAAGTATATGTCTAACTTAAAGCTGTATTAAATGTAAAAACAAAAATTTCTGGGGGATGGAAAAGCAGTTTTACTTACCGATCCTCCATTTCCCCAGCAGATGGCACTCCCCCATACTCAGGCGGTTGACTGTCCCTCGTTGTCTTCATGTTCAGTGTAAGGGCTATGGTCCTTGCATCAGTCTTCATAGTGCCAGAGGACCTTAGACCGCCAGAGTATAGGAGAAAACTTGTCTGTGGGGACTGGTCCAGCAGCACAGAGAAGCCCGAAGAAGCAGATGATCGGGTAAGTACAAGTGCTTTAGTGCATCCCCTAAACCTAAACAAGCAGTTAGCACCTTGCAGTACAGGTGCAGCCAAATGCATGGGAGGATTTTTAGGTTTCCAGGATTTCAGCTTTAATTCAATTGCAAGACAAACATAGTACATCACTGCAAAGCAACTTTTTCTTGGAATGATCTTAAAATGCTCCTGTGCCCTGACAATGGACATTATACTATTTACATATTGACGCCTTATAGGGCTGCCTTGACCAAGAACTGTAGATGACAGCTCGGTTAGTGTGCAGGGAGCACGTTCTCAGCACACAACCCAGTGTCGCCGTGGACGCATATGTTAGAGCCCACATTTGTTAGAGCCCACCTTTTCTGCCATTGTATATGCTGTATGCATTACACAGTTGGCAAGAGGTTAACATACAGTAAAAGAGTTTTAAAACAAGTCACCTTTGACCTCTCATGCTGCTTTTAATGTGAAGTAACTCATTCTCAAATACCTTCAAAGATCAGAACACAGACACTAGATTTGGGTTATGGTATGTTTCAGATTAAAAACCCCCGCAGGTTGTTTGCACTAGTGGGCTGGCAGTCTGCCATGATCTGCTTTCATTAAAAAACAGTGCCTCTGTTGTGAGTTTTGAAAATTAATTTCTTCATAATGGTCATAGATACAGAGGTGAATGATGGCTTATTTCATGGCCCATTCACAGTATTGCATTGCAATTGCAATGCCAGCAATGGTATATGCACCTTTCTTGGTGCCGTTCAATGGGTTAAGTAACCCATTCAAATAAGGTGGCTTCCTTCACACAACACACATTAATGTGCGGCATAGTTCAAGGGCTCTTTAAGTGTTTTTATTGCTTGTTCAGATTATGTAAATGCTTTACTGTGCAAGACCTGAGTACAGCTTCACTTTAAACAGGCCTGCTTTAATGTCAAATATTCAGTAGATTTAATACTGAAAACAAAGGGACATCTGGATACAATAAAGCTGAAGATAGACAGCAGTTATACCAGAAATTATATATTCAATATATTTGAAGCTATAGCAAAGTATTTGCTGTTGTATAGCATTTACAATACTTTGGTTAGTGGTGGGTCAAAATAATGACTAATATCAATACACCATCAATAATGCTGTTGATGCCCACATTTTGGACTGAACTATCTGGGCATCATGTACCACATTTCTACTCTGCCATACCTTCATGCTGTAATTGTTGAGTTTACCTCTTTTGGCTTTGCAGCCACCTCTTTCTGCATTCCCATGGGCCTCAGTGCATATTCCTTTCCTTTCTGTACATTCCCTCAGTTGCTCATGTCTACTCCTTCCAGAGGGTAAGTTTATGGTGAAAGAAAAATGGTTACGATGGGCCATAGATGCGTATATTTCTAATCTATGGTTCTGTGCTCTATTTATTGTATGGCAGTTATCCCTAGAGTCTGTATATTCTTACAGATGTCAGTGATGATGTAAAAAAACTATTAAAAATTTTGCAAAATAAGATGGTAAACTAGACATATCTTCTCCAGTAGGGGCCTTCTAGCCCCTGCTAGGTGCCATCTGGATATGGACTTGGAAAAATCTGGCGGACATCTCCTGCTTATGCACTCTCAGGTCACAAAGTGACCAACTGAGTTGATTAGCTATTGTTCTCCCAGGAGCTAAAAGTCAGCACCCCAGTGCCTCCTTCCTCCCTCCTCAATAGGCAAGTATGCCAATGTGCATAGATGAGAACACGTATATTTATAGAATGACCTTTGATGTGAAAGAGCAATAGCATAAAGAGATCTGTAGATAGCTTAATATTGAAGTTTGTCTTTGTAGATACACATTGAAGCTGATTTACTAAAACTGGAGAGTGCAAAATCTGGTGTAGCTCTGCACAGAAACCAATCAGTTTCTACCTTCAGCTTGTTCAATTAAGCTTCGACAAGAAGACCCGGAATCTGATTGGTTTCTATGCAGAACTGCACCAGATTTTGCACTCTTCGGTTTCAGTAAATCAACCCCATCCACTGCATGATTGTATAATGCTGATCATTTAGATTGCTGTCTGTTATTAATAGCTTTGATTTTATTTTACACTAGATCCTAACTGGGGTGATACTGGAAGTCACTGCAGAAGCACTTGCCAAAGAATTTACCCCGGAAGTACAGCTAGCTTGGAGCAAATTACGGAGCCTCATATGCAGTCATGTACAAGCAACATACAAGGAGGTGGGCTGGACACAGTACCCCAGTAACTCAGTGTGAGCTCATCCATCTTCCAGCGAGGGCCCAGCCAAGGACTTCAGCTCCTGGCTGTCTCAGGCCTCCTGAACCTGGGGCAGCGAGGGAGTACGGGTGTTGGGAATACAGGGGTGGGTAATTGGGTGGGCATGCGGTTATAACTACAGGGTCACTACAACCAGGGTGGGATGGGCTTTTTAATATGGCAGTAAAGTATGGTGCATTTGAACTTGCCTCAAACTTCTAAAATGCAGGTGTTGTAAGAGCATGAGGAACAGGAAGGGAACAGAGACATATCAGACAGAGGAGCTAACGTTTTACTGTGTGGCTGCTCTGCACATCCACGTAGTATTATACCAGTGGAAAAATCTAGCATTGTAAGCCAGGCTATTTTGAGATTGTCCTTGCCCTGTTCTTCTCTGTCCCATATTTTCCACGTGTTCCAAGTACTATCAGGCATGAGAAACAGATGGTTCTTGAACACTTCCTAGTACAAAACAGACCCCTACAAGTGAAGGGGTTAACAGGTCTTCATGGCTCAGATACAACCCCACCCTAAACCCAACAGTTTTGCTTGGCATGCACTTGTATATGGTGATCCGTCTTCATTTCCCATAATCATTAGCTTGGCTGGTTCTCATTTGATGAAATGCTGTCATGAGACTGGCATGCAAAGGGTTCAGTCAGTTTTGCCCACCATTTAATTTTATGCCTGATTATCAGAAACTTCTATGGGACCAAATATAAGATGTTATTAATGACTTTAGAGTATATGATATAAAGAAAGTATCTACTTAATATTACAGTATATCAGCTGGGAATCTTTACCCTGGCCAGGAAGTCGGCAGGCTCATGAGCCATGAAACCTAAAAGACACAGAGGCAGAATATTTTGGATGGTTTTTTTGAGCTGTATTGTGGAATAGAGATATATACATTCCTGGCCTGTGAAATTTTGTGTCAAAATGTGTCTGTCCATACAATATACTGTTTTACTGTGATATAGAAATAAAATCATACTATTGGATCTGTACTGGAATCTGTTTTTCTCTCATTGTGTCATGCCGTCATTGCTGACTGTCGCTGTGTGTTCCCAACGGTGTTTGAATAACCTTAACACATATTTAAAGGGAAATTAAAACATTTTTTTTCACTTTACAATTTAAAAAAAGAAAATCTAGCAATGACTGTGTTATTGGAGGCTTAATGCGTAACCAACTGTCCAATAAAGCTTTACAGTTTATCTGACCTCCTGCAGATTTGCAGTCTGTCAAGTCAGAGGCTGGGCTCAGCAGATTGTAATTTTGACTGTTCAGAGGGGGAAATTATGCCTCATCATTTGACCTTTCAGACTTGTAGCCACCCTAGATCATTACTCAATTTTGCCAGATTAGGTGACTGTCATTTTATGTCTGTGAGAACCCTAAGTCACAGGGGTCACTATGTCTTAATTCTGCTGGTAGAGTGGTGGAGGAGGGTTGTATTTACGAATCTTGGAGCCCAACCCCTTTCTATAAAGATTCTTCCTCACCCATTGATCTATTTTCACTGACCAGAAAAACACCATTAGGCTCCATGCACAATAGCTTAAAAAATGCTCCCAACAGCAGCTTTTAGCATTTGTAGAAAGCAAATAATGTTATCCTATGTGTTCATGCACACTTTGCAGTCCAGAGTTGTTTTTTGAACTTCGTGTTTAGGAGCAGTGAAAAAAAAAAACTCTATAAACACTCCTACAGGCTCCTAAATGCTTCTCACCACTGCTAAGAACTGCTAATTAGCAGGTTGTTAAGGAACAGGCAGCTGCCATGTCCTTAACAACCATCAGTGGAATTCCCAGCTGACAGCTGAATGTAAACAAAAGAATGGCAGCTTAAAAAAATTTAAAAAAAACTGCGTGGGGGTCCCACCAATCCATATCAGACCCTTCAGGTCTGGTATGGTTTTCAGGAGAACCCCACGCCATAAATAAAAAAAAAAAAAACATTTAAAAAAAGAAACATTATGATTTCCCCCCCAAAATCCATACTAGACCCTTATCCGAGCATGTAGCCTGGCAGCCCAGGAAGGGGGGGGTTGAGCGAGCACCCCCCAAACCATTCCAGGCCACATGCCCTCAAACTGGGGGGGTGCTTTGGGGCAGGGTGGCGCCCTGAAAGGACCTTGTCCACATGTTGATGGGGACAAGGGCCTCTTCCCCACAATCCTGGATGATGGTTGTGGCAGACTTATCGGAATCTGGAAGCCCCCTTTAATAAGGGGGCCCCCAGATTCCGCCCCCCCCCATGTGAATGAGTATGGGGTGCATAGTACCCCTACTCATACACAGAGCAGTGTAAATAAAGACAGTTTTTCACAAGTCTTTTATTAAAATGGTCCCCCGGTGTAGATCCATATTCAATCACTACGCCACTCGTCCCCATTCTTTTGTTTGCATTCAGCTGTCAATGGGGAATCCCATTGACAGCTGAATCAGTTGTTAAGGACGTGACGGCTGCCCGCTCCTTAACAACCCATTATTCACTGCTAAAGCGTTGGCACAATGCCGGCACAAAAATGCTAATATTGAGAGTTTTTTATCCAGTGTATTTCTGACTTTTTTTTAAGCTCCTAGTGTGCATGGAGCCTAAAGCAAAATAAGAGTACATCCTTGTGATTATTATTGCTTGCATAGTCAGTTAAAACAATGGTATACATTCCTTTTAACATCATGTTTGCAAGGGAATTTTGCTATTCATCAGTATCCAAGACTTCCATAATTCCAGCAACCCTTTCCCATAGCAGCCTTGCCTACGGTTCCCTAAAGTCCTAATGTAGAGAGATCTATGTCTTCTCCTCCCATTGTTGTGCCACAAGCTCTGTGTGTGAACACTCCCGTGTACTGGAAAAGGTGTAACCAAAATATGACGCAGTAATGCACAAAAGACTAAAATAGAAGATTTTCCCATTTCTTGTCCCAAATGCCTCCTGTAAAGAACCACAAATAACATCATTTATCTAAAGATATCACCTCCAGAATGTATAACATTTTAAACATTAATTTCACTGCTGATCTTCCTTGGAGATATCTCTGTGAATGGGATTTAAACTTACATACAACTGAGGAGGCCTGGTGTCCACAAATAGTAATGTTCTCCAAAGCTTTTATTATGAACTTGTGAATATAATTTACTTGCTAAGTGGTACATTTAGGTTATACAACCAGGTTGCCCCTCTTCTCCATTTAGCTTTGCCATGAGGAAAACTCTTACTTAAATCTTCATATGTGGTAGAATTGTCTTCCACTAGAAAGAAGTTCTGTTCCACAGTAAGATCCAGGTGGTGGCATTGCAGGTGTTATGTATGAGGGGTTTTTTTTTCATTTATTCATCTCATTATATTGCTAGTTGTAGTTACTGACAGTAGTCAGCCACTAAACAAGATTAACTAAATGTAACTAACTAGTACAAATTATACTGAATTAGTTGTGTTGTTCTGGCCAGAAAAAGAAGTAAGAGCCCAATCTTTGTTTCCAATGGCATAGTTCTCAAAACAAAATTTACATCTTATTATGTAGGAAAAATGCCCTTGATTATTTACAAAAATTTAAAGTAGGATTATGTTTCCCTTATACATTTGTAATATGTAACCCAGATGTAATTGAAGTTTGAAAATGACAGTACCAGTAGATTGTAATGAGCAGCAGTACAGGACTGTCTACTATAGACTATTACATTTCATAGTCTTTGGAGGCTATATCAGCCACAGAGTATTTCAAATAGAGAAAAAACTTCTCCTTTGCAAAGAGCCACAGAAAACTCTTGTGCTTGTTTTGAATGACTAATAATCAATTTCCTATGAACCCAAGGATGTGGAATAATAATAAATTCTCTCTTACGTCCAGTAAAGGATTTTTGGCTTACATGTCAAAAAAAATGTCTGCGCCTCCCAGCTCGTCTTACCTTCTGATTGCCCCTAGGAAGATGCTGTGGTACTCCTCAGTTAGGATTTTTCTCCTTCCAGATGTGCACTCAGTTTGAGTTGGCTGTTATAAAGAAGAAGGTTTCTTATGTTTGGAACACTCTCTAAGTATCACTGGGAGCAGGGAGCCTACCACAGAGCTGACCATCTGGAGAAACAGAGGTCTGGTAGAGAATTTATTTTCTTTCTCTAAAAACATGTACTTGTTCTCATTGCGTCAATTTTATGTTCATATTTTCTACATGAAACTGACCTATGTAGCACAGACATGCTCTTTTGATTATCTGCATACAAAACATAAGAGCTACTCTTTCTCTGTCTACAGTTCAACACGTTTGTATGCCTCCTGCCTGCTCTGCTGATACAAGATTTTATACCGCTCATCATTTAGGTGACGTTTCAGTTGGAAGGGTCTTAAAACAGCATGTGCTGTAATAGGGCTGTTGAGGAAAATTAAACAGAAAATTTGATTGTGAAGATAGCACAGACAGGGGCGTATCTACTGCGAGGCAAACAAGGTGTATTCCTTGGGTGGCATTTTACGGGGGGGGCGGTGCCACTCCCAGGCAGAAGGGCAACCCGGTTGTGAGCTGCAGGGGTGCCGTCGGGGGGGGGGACACAAGTAGGGCCAGGGGACCAGCTGCAGAGGAGGGATGGAGTGGTGGGCGTATCCCTAGGGAGCTGTCGAGGGCCAAGGCCCACTTTTAGGCAGGCTCTAGTCAGGATCTAAATCACCACAGATGAAAAGATATTAATGAAAATACCATAATAAATAAAACAAAGTCTCTGCAAAAACTCTTCAAATCCAGTGATAGTGGTGGCGAATGAAACCAGAACCAGAAAGAGAGAATCCTTCACCCTTCACCCAATCATTTGCCCTCTTATCGGAAAGTTTGACCACCCAAAGGACTGGTCAAACAAAGCAGATATCCAGCCCAACAGATGAGTTTAGGACTTCCAGAAGGATCTCCCCAGATATCAGAAGGAGTTAGAGGCTTCTTACTGAACACTGTGGTCTAAGATGGCAAATGTCTTTCTACATAGTTAACACCACATAGGGAAAGA